TAATTGTTTGCTAATGTCCTTTGTTACTGCTTCTTTGGTAGTTTCCCTTTCCTGTTTCCCTTGAAAATGAAAACTTACCATGTTTCCTAATAAAATCTTAAGTTAATTAATTCACTGGACTATTGATAAATAGATTTAAATTTAGACAACGTGTAAGGAGAAAGTAAAAGAGAACGCGACATTTTTGCAACATAATAACTGCACGATAGTATTGATGAACCGACCTCAAGAAAAACTGAACTCTGCACAGCCTGTGGGGCAAGCTGGATTCAGAAATGAATTTCGTACCACGGTTCATCTTCAGGTTGTAAAACAAGTAATTCAAATAAATGACGAATATTGGCTTCCTCTCTGTCTGGGGTTCGTAGATTTGAAGAAAGTTTTCGATTCAATGTATATCGGTTCCGTAATGAATTCCCTAAAGATCCAGGGAATCGAGGAAAGATACAGAGACCTCATCGCCATTATTAACAAAAATGGAGCCATTAATGTGAAACTTTGCACTTGAAGTCTAAGCAAGTTCAAAATCGACAAGGGTGTTTAAGAGGAAGATGCAATATCACTCAAGTTATTCACAACTGCTTTAGAGAAGCATTCGAAGGCACTCCAGGAAAATCAAGAGCTGAATGTAAATGTACACTAATTGAGCTACCTGCGGTTTAAGAACGGCATTTTGACCTTCTCAAGGTCTCCAGAAAGATCCAAGAGCTGAACGACGCCATCATCAAAGTCAGGCTAAAAATGTACTTAAGGAAGACAAAAATCAACTTTGTTTATTAAATACATGATCGCGAGATCTGTGGAAGTTAACGAATTGAAGAAGAGGAAGATTTTTGTTAGTGTTGTCATCTTCATCTGGGGTATCAGGATCAAGGACCAAGTGTTCAGATTAATGATATCGAAAGAAATGCAAAACGACTATGTGTGGTACAGTTTAACTCTGCAATGGATAATGTAATTTATGAAAACGACATGGATCGCTTTTGAAAAACTCAAAATGTTCTCTGTGTGTATATATAACTGCCCTAGTGTTTGAAACAGAAACTTGACAATCATTGTGTACTCTCAGTAACCACAACCATAAACCTGAAAGCTCTTTGTAGACGTTGACTACGTAACGTAGCATGGGAAGATGTATGTTGGGAATAACCAGAAACAGGGAGAAGTTGAATGAAAATATAGGAGCACAATCCTTTGTCTGTTATGTCATTTCTCGAGTAAAAAAGTTCAAGTGGTGGCAATGGGCACGGCACGTTTCATAGAACACTATGCATCGATAGACGAGTGAGAGGGTAAAGTTTCAGAGAAGAGTAAACGATCTCGGTAATAAAAGAATAACTCCCCATCGATGATTGGATAGGCTGAAGATGTTCTCTAGATCAAGATGGATGAAAATAGCGGATAACAGAAGTTTATGGCAAAGTCTTTACGAGGCCTTCATTCAGCCGTGGATCGAAAAATGCTTAGGATAATATATGCTGATGGCTTCCAGAATCAGTATGAAGATGAGCTTTGAGTCAAGTTTCATAAATGGAAGTGTTACAGATGGTCTCCATTATCGACCAGTGAGGGAGGCAGATCTTCCAACCACTGTTAAATATATGCCTCATTTTTCCTCTGTTTTTACATGGCCAGGTCAGGTTAATTCTGCTGGTCGGTGGAGCATTGATTTAACAGTTATGAGACTGTGAGGTGGAATCTTAGCGCAGGTAACTTCTTCCGTCTTTTTGAGCGAGTGCCAGTAGTTTTTCTCTCATAGAAGTAAGTCAATTCTTGCTACAAGGGAAGAATATTGGTTCCTCATTAAGTTCCTTGAATAAAGATATCATAATGGGTTTCTCGCCATTGAAATTTAAGAAAGATCGACATTGATCAGTGATTCCTGACTATCTTTCTCCTTCCCTGTTTTTACAAGGTCAGATTGGCTTTATCAGTTGAGCATCAAAT